CCTTAAAAAAAAAAATTCCTGTTTCTGACACATTACTAATGATTTTTGTGCTATGAAAGAATTTCTATTTCACAATTCCCCAAATTAATCTACGATTCTACTGAGGACCTGGGGGTTAACAAATAAAGGGTAATGGTCGATAATTTTACCAGACAACTTGTTATCGAGAAAGTCTGTTACTGCAGTTCTGGACAGGCTCTATAAAATTTCCTCCTCCAATCATAGCAGCTCTTCGTTCAAACTCTCTAAAAAATAGGATTATAGATAAAACACAGATACTGTCAAATTTAAAACATTAAGAAATCTGTTATACATTCATCGAGAACAAGAACAATATAGTTAAACAAAATTTCATCTGATGCAACATTGGTCTATTTCTTATATCACCACCTACGCGTACGTGATAATTATAAAAAATTATGATATGCAATCATAAAAAGAAAAAGGAAAAACTTGTTTGGTGAGTGAAAGAGCGTGATATTGCATTCGAGGGCTGCCACCAATGTCGCCCAAAACCACCACGTACATATTTCCTCTTCTTCCTTCCTAATTTTCTTCATTTTTCCTTCTATTTTCAAATTCCAGAGTAAAAATAAAATCAGGAAAATCCAATTTTCTCAATCGGAAAGATTTTCTGGGAAAATAGAAAAGGAAAGAAAATCTCACCAGCCATTTCGCGTATCATTTAGCAGAACTTCAAATAGAAGAGCAATGATATATTGTACCTGATTTGATTTGTCTTCAAATTGAACCATACCTAATTTTTCCTAGGGTTTATCAATCCTTCATCGAAGAATCTTTAAGGATGAAGCGAAGAAATGTTAACCTAGAATAAAAAGAAGACAAAAGCTATGAAGAAGTTATGGTTGCTGCGAACTTGAGATTTGAAGACACCGAAGAATGAAAAAAGTGAATGAGATGAGTTTTTGTTTTTCAAAATTTGACTGGGCAAAAGCATTTTTTTCTCAAATATTTTGGGACGTTAAAAAAACAGAGTAGTAAAATTAGGGGTATTTTTGTAGTTTTAAGATAATTTTACTAAATGTGGCAAAACACGTGTAGCTAACGGCCGCTTTTCTTGTAGTAGATATACTTACCACTAAAAAAGTTTACCGCCTTTACAACTAACCTAATCATCGTTGATTTTCATCAATCTAACGGTTATAATTTATTGGATTTATTGGAAATTAATAATTAATTAACAAATATGACCCAATAATTTCCAATAAATTATAACCGTTAGATTGACGAAAATCAACGGTGATTAGGTTGGTTGTAAATGTGATAAACTTTTTTTGTTGATAAGTATATCATTCCCCTACAAATTTATGCGTCAAAAGTGATTTTGGTCGGATAAATATTATTAATCAAAAATATTTTTGAAAATTGTAAAATAAAAGAGATATCAGTTTATTCCGAAAGATAATCCAAAGGTTTTAAAAATTATCGTAAGGTTTTAAAAGAAATATTTCGGATTACAAAAGAATTGATTATCGGAAAACTAAGGTTGAAAAACTATTTACTTATTATATTTTTAAATTAATTTACAGACGGTTATCCTATCTTGATCGTTGTTGTGAACTGAAGATGACAAGGGAGAATGATGGCCTTTTTGACCGTACCAGTGCAATTCCCAAAATATTTGACTTGATTAAGCATATGGTCAAACTATTAACCATTGTAATGCAAAAAGACGAACGTGCACATGACAATTGCGTGTTAAACGTCAGGACAAAGCCTAATGCAACCTTGCAACTCCGCATTATTGACAAGGGTCTCACACCCTGTACATACGTGTTTCGCTGCGTCAACAGTAACTGTGTGTTCTTGACAAAGTAAACAAATCAAAAACATAATTATTTAAATCATTGTTGGGCCTCATTGGGGTTCCTTTCCCTATAGTGGTGGTGGCGGTGATGGTGGTGGTGCTCATAATCTTCATCAAATTTCCGTTGTACTTCTTCGCATTCTCAAGGCTCACATCAATTTCGTCTTGATCCCCCTTTGAGGGCCAACCGGTTTCGAATATATGAACAGGTTACTTCGAGTACTCTAAGGAATCAAGTACGAAGTAAACAACATTGATCTGAATGAATAGCATGTCATCCTACTAAAGATTGGTCGTAGGGTCCACCATACCTTGGTTTGGTTGGAATAGAACGTAGTCGAACGAAACCTGCTTCAAATTGTCTTGTAGGCGAAGTAAGGGTATGTGTTGATGAGGAAAGGTGATCTCATTTTGGCTTGGAAGCTAAGGAGTGAGTGGTTATGACGGTTATTTGTTTGTCGAGGTTGAGGTTAATGAGTGAGGTTCGGACGCTATGCATAGCAGGGAAAAGGTTGGCGGTGAGAGGGATGTTGTTGAAGGTAAGAACCTCGTTGCCGATGAAGATGGATGTGACGTTTGTATGTGGGAGGTAAGGTTGGAGATTGGACTTAAGACAAGTACTCGTTACCAAGCCCAACCATGAATTCAACTACTTTGTAGTATGGTGCGACATCAATGAATGTGCATCTCTGTTAAACACGCCACATACAGGTGCGCGTCTTTAGGAGTCTGATGCGGCATAATAAAGTGCGCTTTTCTAACATTGACTTGCCTAACACAAGTGCGTGTTACGATGTGCGAAGGATGCAACATCTTATGCTGCACATTTGGTTTTTCCTCACATATTACGTGCATGGTGTCAGTGCGCGTCTTAACACGCGCCTCCAATAATGTGTCTTCCTGGATTACAAGAGTAATAGTTTTACCAAAAGCTCAATTAAGTTAAATGTTTTGAAAATTGCACTAGTACGATCAAAAAGTCGAGAATTATCAATATAGTACAGTTTTTTAAAAAATAATATAATATAAAAAATACTTATTTAAGCGATATAGTTTAATTTTTGATTAGTTTTTGGGAAAATATTTTCTCCAGTTACATAGGATAAGTCTCTCTCCTGTACTAACAAAATGGTGGGTCCTTTAGATTTTTTTCTTTTCTTCTTTTTTTTAATAAAAAAGGGTCCGACATCGTTTGTCTCAGCAACATAAGACAAGTTATCTTCTGTTGCATAAGAACAGTAAATCCCTTAGTTTTTAGGGATTATCTCCTATACACATAAAAATGTGTGTGCCCCATATGAGAAGATGAGAGAGACAGAGAAAATATGAACTCCACAAATTCTTGTATGTGTAGGAGATAAAATTATTTCTCATAATATGATAAACATTAATCCCTAATTTTTATCCCACAAATATAACATATGTCATAACCATATGAGTAATATGTGTCACGTTTATAGGACACATATTAATCATATAGTAAAAAACAGTCAAATTATATCCACCTTCATAAATAATTTTCAAATTAAATTATTTTAATAATTTATTTTTAAAACTGATAGTACATTGGTCGATTTGCCGATGGAAACAATAAACAGTATATTTGGGGCTTTTGCCCCTCTTTATTACAAAAAAATAAAAATAAACAGTATATTCTTGTCGACTAGGTATTTTGCTTGTCTACTAATTTGGTTGGTAATCCCACCACATAGAAACAACTTCAGCGGGAGAAACACTCAACACTCTATTCTTTTTTCTTTTCTTTTTTTTGTTGGGGCACTGTATTCTTGCGGTGCAAAACAATAAATGAAAATTCACGGTTCCATATTATTTTATCACTCTTTTTTGTTACATTATCTCTGTTTAGGGAAAAAAAAAATTTGAAAGTATATGTTGAAATATATGTTTCTTTTTTCTTATATTATCTCTGTTTTGGTTTTAGTACTTAAAAAAATTGTATTTGATATGTCTAACTTGGATATATATATATATATATATATATATATATATATATATATATATATATATATATATATATATATATTCTTTCTAGTAGTATATGTATTTTTATATTGATTAACAGTTTAAAGATTTAATAAAGAAATTTCATTTATGATTAGAATTTTATTAGTAATGTGTATTATTAAAATATTATGCACTAACAAGAATTTAGTTTAATATTAAACTAGCTGCACTTAAAAAAGAGATAATTCTATCAATTTTTTCTATTATTACTCTACTATCATTCTAATTATTATTGGATTTAAAAGTTTTTTTTTCTCTATTCATTTAACTTTTTCTCTAATGTAGTGGTAAATAGAGTGGTAGTAAAAAAAAAATTAGTTATATGAATATCATCCCTCTTTAAAAAAAAATATCAAATATCAAATACTATAAAGACAATTTTGATAGGACTTAGCTCCTAGCTAGCGAAAATATAAAGGACGCTTCGCTCTTTATGCATTCGATTTAAGCACCATTTCGTCAACCCAACCAAAGCCTCCTTACTTTTGCACCATTTTCAGAAAATCATCTCTTACACAGTCACACTTCAATATTTAGACCAATTTTTTATTTTGATCGTCCCTTTCTCTTTTCTTATTGTCAAATAAAATTTAAGTATTTTTTGCTATCTTAACTTAGTTCCATGCTCATCAAACCAAACCCAGCGCTTCAAATTCAATGCCCAAAATATTTGTAACTGATCATGTTTTTTATGTTATAGAAAATAAATTTATCTCTTACTTACAGATAAAAATTCCTGGGATTCATATAAATATTTGTAAGAAAAAAAAAGAAAAAAAAGTATGAATCTTCTTGCACATATATATATATATATATATATATAAGAAAAAAAAAGAAAAAAAAGTATGAATCTTCTTGCACATATATATATATATATATATATATATATATATATATATAATAAACATTAAAGCTCACAGTAAATAGTTCTACTAAATGATACCAAAAAAAATAAAAAAAATAGTTCTACTAATACGATTTCTCACGGGTTTATTTTATCTCTTGGGCTTTCCTTTATTGGGAGTTAGAGTTTTGGCACTGCACATTACCTCTCTCCTCTACTTTTTTATTTCACAAAGAACCTGATTCTCTGAACACGAGGCACCAATTACTTTTCCTTGCTTCTTTTCCACATAACTATGCTAGTACAAACACACTCAATTCTCATTTCATTGCCTTTTTGTCTCTCTCAAAATCTCTGAACTCTGCTCTTCCGGAGAGAGAGATCAACACAACAAAAAGCCACATTGATTGATTCACTCTTTGATGCTTACTTGTTATTGTTTATCATCTATGTTAAAGTTAAAAAGTCTTTCAACTCACACGCTGGTGGTATTGCTATTGTTAATATAACTTAATATCATTCTAGAAAGAAAGTAAATACAAATGGACAAGGCTCGAAACGTGAGGCGTGGAGCCAGTGGGCTCTCAAACACCAACAAGCGACGACACAAACTCTTCGGCGGTAAATTACTCAACACCAACTTATTCTGGTTTTTTCTGCGCTAAGAAACAAAATCCATTTTCTCCTTGTCGTTATTTGTGTCTATGCTTGTGTGTGTGTGTGTGTTTTTTTCTTTTCTTTTCTGATAACATGGTTTGCAGATAACGCTTCCCTTTTTTTCTCTTCTTCCCTTGTTATCCTCTTTCATTTTTGTTTATCCCTTTTTTTTTCTTTCTTTCTGAGTGATAGTTTTCACTGCTGCTATTCGTGGGGACCTTCAATTATCAGAGAAATCGAAGAAGGAAAAAGTGAGAAGCTTGAGTTCTGTGGGTAGAGCATTAACAAGCTCCCAACACTTCGAAATGGGTTGCCACGTATCTGAAAAACAAGCACTTGACCCTTCTTCCACTATCATTGCCTCCAACAAGAGATTTCAGATTCCCAAGAATAATGTATGTTATTATTATGCTACTCATTTTAATTTTTTAATTCGTGGACCATGTTATGCTTATGATTTACTTGTTTTACTTTTTTTGTGTTTGATTCTCATTTTAAATGATTTGGCAGTTTTTGAATGATTGCAATGGAGTTCATCATGCCTCTGTTCCAAGGAAGCTACGTTCAGGTGCGTGATTTTCAAATTCGAAATCAAACCTTTTTATTTCTCACTGAAAACGCTACTCCTTGTTGCTGGTTTTGGATTAGTGTTGAAGCAAAATCCCTGAAGCTTTTGCTTTTTCTTTATCATAATTGTTGGACTTCGAATTCGGTCTTTTTTCTTTGTTTATGAATTATTGTAAAGATATTTTATTCCACTGAGAAACTCTAGCTTTTGATTAACCAAGTCTTCTTCTGTATCCAATCATGTAGATGAAGAGGAAATTTTATTTTCTTTTTCTTTTTGCTAAACAAAAAGTGTGGAATTTTTTTATTTATTTTTTTGCTCTTTTTAATTACAGCCATGAAGAAGCGCAGTCGTGAATCCATCTTGCTTGATTCAGAAAAGGTGAACCATAAGATGAATGGAATAGAATCTCCCGAAAAGGGTAGTGTAAAGAAGTCCAAAGTGAGTATTGTAAGTAAGACATCTTTGGGATGTAGCTGCTACCTTCAAAACTTGACCTCTAGCTAAGTTTTCAAAGCATTTTTATTTCACTTTTTACTTGGAATTTTGCTTTTGTAGAAACAAGGAATTGGTGCAGACTGGTCCCCAAGAGAAGGTGTCTCTGGGCCCATCACAAAAGATGAGGAAGAAGTTGTGGAGACTCTGTATGCTTTGGCTGGAATGTTCCCTAACAAAGGGTCCAATCATAATAGTAGGGAACTACATGGCGAATCTTTACAAGAGAACTCTTCAGTTTTGCAGTACTTAGAGGAGAATCCTAATGCTGCTCTTGAAGGTTATTCTCACACTTATCCATTAAGAAATGATTATTCTCTCTCCTATAACACTTGTCTTAGTTATTATCTCACGCTTTTCCATTTTCTTTTGAATCTTTTTTCCTTTGGCATATATTCTAGCTTCAGCACCTACTCAGGATGTAAGTCCTTGTCCTGAAAGATCACCTAGAGAAGCTTCAAAAATAAGTTCTTCAAATGAAACTGCTGGTCAAGAACAGCCTGATTTGTCTGAGAGGGCAACGTTCTCGATGGCATCTCATAGCACTACTCCAACGATACATCTTCAGACCATGCCTATGATGGTTAAGTGTGAAAATAGCAACAAAGTTGCATTGCATGAGTTTGAGTTGTGTCTAGCAATGGGGTGGGTGTTTTTCGGTTGCATTCTGAAATTTCTATACTTTTCAAGTCCTTTGTATCTATTTTACATGTTTTCTCATCATATTGCGGATTAAATATTCCCAGACAATCACGGATTTCACAAATTGAGAGTAAACCAGATGTGGAGTTTGAGGCGGTAGGCATTTTAACATTTACAGTTTGTATGGTTATACCAAAATTTCTTATCTTGTGAGCTAGCTCTAGTATTATTGGTGTAATCGGTTTACATTTCAGGCCAGAGACGTTGATTGTATGCAAGAACAGAAAATAATCAAGAAACAAAAGGAAAATGGTATGTGTCCTCCAAGATCAAAATGTCCTTAATGAAAGCCAGTAGTATTGTTCTAGTGGTGAGGAAGTTCAAACTTCAGTGCCTCATTGCATAAAAAACAAAAATGTCCTTAGTGAATTCTTATTTTGGTGACTGTAGTATAGGCTAAAATATTTTACATCAATTTGTCTGATTCTTGGACTTCTTTTGTTTTTTGTTTTTTTTTATCAGAAGTTCTTGCATTGTGGCCAGGCTTGTCTCCAGTGGCATCTGCTGGCCAGGCTTTTTTGCAGTAAATTTCTTTCATTCTACTTCATTTTCACCTTCTTAAGCAGCTTGAATTTTCCCCTTCCTGTTCTTCTTGTCCAATTCTGATGGATTTTTCTTTCCAAGGTCTTCTTCTGCTAAAGCTCCTGATTGGATGGAAGCTGCTATCTGTGCCTCCAAACAGGATTTGATGAAAAGTTGTTCTTCTAGTGGAAAGGTAATTATGGTTATTGCTGTTTTACATGACTTACCTATATGTTAAAATTTCTAGGTCCTAAATGACGCACCCCACTCGTACACCTATTTGTTGTTGTTGCCAATAATAACTAACCTAGCAGAGTCGTAAAAGATCATGGAAGAGGTGTGCAGCTCATGTTCACATCAGTCATATCATCCGGAGTTTAGAGGTTCCAAAAAGGCACGTTATCAAAGAACCTGAGCTTTATGAATGTCATCAAATGAATGAAGGAACAAACTGTGGAGTTCTTTTGGAAGTACACAACTTGAACGGAATGAGAAATGGAGTTATTTCTGCTACTGTGAGGGATCCCCATGAAAGTAAGAATGGTATTCTTCAGCAGCAATGCCATTATCGTGACATATCACAGGCTGCTCCAATACATGGGGGATATGGCCCTCAAAAGCAAGTAAGCTTAATGTTACTTTTGGTAACGGTGCCTCCTCTTGCCACCTCTTCCTCATGCCCTGATGATTATCCTTATTATGCAGGGTTTCAACTTCTTGTCCTTGACAGCTGAAAGTAATGGGTTAAAGGTTGATAATAGTTATAATAAAATTGGAACTAGGTTGGAACAATGGTCGAAATTGCATGTGCCTTATCTTCAGTCATTAGCACAGCAGCATGAGCTCGTGCCAGTTCCCATGCCTCAGAGTCAGTATTCCTCGACTTCTTACCTTGATCAGCTTTCTGTTCCAGGACCACAGGTAATAAATCTTTCTTTGTTACAAGAGCACTATAAATCAAATAAAATGAACTGAGAAATCTTGGGCACAACTTTGATAATGTTATTATTTTTTAGCAATATGAAATGAGGTGGCTATAGTTTATTGCTAACGATGAATTGAATAAACTATTCTAACACCCAAAAAACAAAAACGAGCAATTTATATTCTCAAAAGTATGCCACCCTTGTTCTTATTGTCATACTAATATTGTTTCATATGCTTCAATTGGCTGCAGGCTCGGTTGCAGCAACCTAATTATTATGGTAGCCCGTTATGTGGAACTCATTATAACTCAACGGTCTCAAACAAACAACAATTCCAAAGCTTTTCGGGGGTGCTTCAAGCATGTCAAGGTGCTGTAAATTGCAAAATTATGAGGAGCCAATATCCTGATTGGCAAAGTGGAAGGCATGACTCTTTTGCAGTGAGTCCGTGCGCCCAAGCTATCCTTCCCCGTTCCCTTGCATCGCAAGAGATATTTGGATCCATGATAACTTCAATCTCTGGGCAACAGCAACAGCAACAGCAACAGCTCATTAACCCCGTCAAGTACAAATGGGCTAGACCTTCATCTCCCTTCTGTATGTGAAGAAATTTGAGACAGGCTCCCCAGTACTGGTGGTACAACATCGATGCAAGTGCAATCTGAATGTAATTCATTGTTTTATTTCTACATGCCCAGGTTCTGGTGCTATTACACCTGTCACGTTCATTAACTTGCATATATTGGAAGTGGCACAAAACTTGCGAGCTGATCTAGTGGATTTAATTAGTGGAAACGCGAGGAAACACAAATGTTGATACCTTGCAGTAAGATCTGAAAGGATCACACTCAAATCTTCTCATTTACCTGGACACCTAAAGCTCGTCTAACTGACAATAAAACATATACAACGATTGTTCACGGGTAGTTCTTCTGTACCATCCAAATTAATCGTTTTGGATTGCTTATTATAATGAGAAAACTATTGTACCCGGTTATATTTCTTTAGAGTGTAACTAACTACCAAGAACAAAGTTTTATTTTTTTTTGAAAAAAATAATGAAACAAAACAAATATATAGAGACAATGAAATGAAAGAAAGGTTACTAAATAACCTGATCTTACGAATGTCTTCATTATATAAACACAAGCCAAGGGAGAAACCTAGGTGAAAGGTACTGAATACATGACTGAGGTAAAAGATTTTCAAAATTCTGTATCACAATTGAATTACAAGAATTATGCCAAGTGCATGAACAAATTATCAGAGTCTCCAAACCGCTGACTCTGCCGTTATGTAATGTTTCACTCTAGTTTTTCCAATTCCCCCATTCTCTCAATGATTGCCTGCGAGCACAAAAATCGGTATGTTATGGAAAAGGGGTTTTCAATTTCAAAGAATTTAGTTTGTCAATAAAAAGTACACCCAGGCCACAATTGTCATAAGCAGAGGAAAAAGCTACGCAAGTGGGCAACTAGGCCTGGAATCATAGGGTAACCTTACGCTAGCAACCACAAGTCAAGAAGCTTAGAAACTCCAAAGAACTCATACCTTCTTGCTTGTTTCTTGTAGTTCACCCGCTAGAATGAATTCATCAAGTATAAGATAGACCTTCATGAAAGATGGGTGAACTACATGAGTAAGAAACAATAAATAATAATAGTAATCTTAAGGAACAATACGATCAATAATGTGATCAATGACCACTCCAATCCCAACCCTCAGCAATCATGAAATTTATTTAGAAAGAAAACAAAACATAGAGTGTACAGTAAAACTCATGTTATAAACATATAAATCCACCCGTGGATGTTAATGTAAACAGTGGATAAAGTTGCATTTGAGGCATGCTCAATTACAAAACTAAATAACACAGTTCATATAGAAAAAATTGATGGGAAATAAACGAAACTGGAATTTTGCACCAAAGTAAATAATGTATATTGCTTAGTGCAGGCTATGGTTACCAATATTCTAATACACGCGCTCAAGTGTAAATGCAGCAGAAACCAAAATTAAGAGCACTAGTGTAACTAGAAACATGGGCAGATACACATCTATATCAACAATCACTGAATCACACACAGGATAGGAATTTTCCGTCCCTGATTTTGGTTTTGAGGGTGGGGGCAATCTTAAAATGGAACATATTAATGCAAATATGCGAGGGAAAAGACCAAAAAATTAGTCAATTAATAACCAAACACCAATATAGTAACATCTTTATGTCTTCATAATAAAGATAGAGAATTGGTCCCAGACTCCAAGAAGAACGCAACTGTACAATAAAGATATGATAAATAACAAACCTTGTGAAAGTTGAAAACCAAATCAAGTTCACACACATTGCTGAAGAAGTGATCCAATATTTCCACAAATAAATGGATGCACTCTAAGTACGCCAACTCATTATCAGTGATGTCAACACAGAGTGAGAAAAACAAGCCAGCGTATCGCCTGTATATTATCTTATGGGTACGAAACTGCAATACATGTTATCATCAAAGGGTTACAACATAAAGAAGTGGACATTAATTTAGAACTAGTTTCAAACAGATTAAAAAGTCAGCCACATAATCTAAGAAAATAAAGAAAGACACAGCATAATGTTTTGGCACAGGGACAACAAACAACAATCAGAACCAGCATCAAATTTAGAACATTCATCACATAATTATTGCATTCATGGAAAGCCATAAAGTCCTCATCTATGTCAAAGCAAGAAACTTAAAAATTGCAGATCATGAGGAGAAAAGTTTTGACCTCAACGAAATTTGTATATTTGGGGTCTCTGTTTACCACTAGGCGATGAACCTGCAAAATGACGAAATTGAAGAGAATTAGGTTAATTAAAGAAAATTAGGTTAAGAGAAGAGAAACAAAACATGATATGTTACCTCGTATTCGACCTTGTGTTTCTCGGAATCCTCGAGAGGAACATAGTATTTGGCTAGACGGGTCTTCCCCTGCCTGTTCTGCAACAGAATGAACCGGATCTGCTAACGCCAAAAGGAAGAAAAAAAATTAAAAAAAAAAAATCAAAATAAAAATTTGGAACCAAACAGATCATTATGAAGTAAAATGAAATTGAATTATCACCATTTCAAATGATGTCGAAATCGATTTGCAATTTAGGGATTGAGGAACTGTGCAGATGAATTTTCCAAACTCAGCTTCAACGGCAACTTCAAGAGATGATGAACGAGTTTACTTTCCAGCTCTTTTTGTTTTTTGTTTTTTTTTTCGTTAAATTAATGATGGGGTGCAGCAGCTACCGTGTAATGACGCAGACGAGGTTATTGACTTTCAAATTAGAAAAATACTATTTCCATTTTATAATTATGTTATCTCACTTTAAAAATCTTATTCACTTTTTTTTTCTTTTTTATTCTTTAGTTGTGGATCTCAGGTGACTTTTTTCTGTAACATAAAAGAACTACTCTCACGTAAAATGAGAGTAGCATTTTTCCTTCAAATTACGCTGAAAACAAAATGACGAAATAGACTTACTAACACTAATTTATTAAATCCGGCCCGGCTCATTGATGGATTAATTGGTTTACTGCTTCAATAAGTGGGTAATTGATTTAATCGTATAACTTTGTAAGTGTATATAAATTTATAATTTATATTAAGAAAATATAAATATATTCAAAAATATATATCAAATAATATTAATTTCAAATATTTTAAAATCAAAAATAAATCACAGATCATTATTAAAAAAAAATCAAATAAATATATAATGCATGTGATATTGATACTTCAGTTTCAGTAGATGATAATTTTAACTATAAACTAAATTAAAATTTCTTGCAAAATTCGTCAATAAGATAATATAAGTGTTGTAAGTACATAAACAACAAATTATTTGTGAATAAGCAACAAATCACTTAAATATTTAAAAAAAAAATCATTTTTAAATTTAAAAAATATATCCTTTATGAATTTTATTTTTGAAAATAAGCAGTAAGCAACAAATTATTTGTGAATTTAAAAAGAAAACACCTATATAAGTCAATAATCACCAAATTATTCAAATATTTCAAAAGAAAATAAATTATTTGTGAATTTAAAAATATGATATCCTTTATCAAATTTTTTTTGGAAATACATTCTTTTATGAATCAGGTCAGGACACCAATTGAACCAATCGGGTCATCGATTTTTAATAAAATCGACCGGTTCACATCAATTTCAATGCATGGTCAATCTGCTATTTCATCCGGACCAATTTTATGACCAATTTATCAATTTTTTGGTCAACCCAGCCGATGGATCCGAGTTTACCATTACTGATTTAAATAATACAATCTGATTTCATGGTAATTTTCTATTCTTTATTGAAGGTTCATTGAATGCTCAAGGTAAAGTCCTATCTATGCTCTAATTTTTTGTAATTTTTTTTTTAAAGGTATTACCTTAAGATCACTCGATTAGAATTTAGTATCACTCAATAATAATACGAGATATCTATTGTTAAGATTTTAGTCATATAAGTCTAATACATTTAAATCTTTCCATTTATGGATTTCGTTTCTAAAGTAGAAAGTATATTTTAAATAAAAAATAAAAAATTATAATTATTGATTGAAAAATTAATAAAATATATCTTAACTTCATATTTTGTAATATATATATATATATATATATATATATATATATATATATATATATATATATATATATACATATAGAGGTAGGATCCTTTGACATCAGTGTCAAATTTAAAATTTGATATCTCATCTGAGAACCGTTAGATCAAAAAAGATCAATGGTATCACATGCTTACAAATCAGAGTCGTTAATTTTTTTTGATCTAATGACTCTCAGATGAGGTGTCAAATTTCAAATTTGACACTGGTGTCAAATGATCCTACCTCATATATATAATCTTTTTTTTATCTAACGACTCTCAGATGAGGTGTCAAATTTCAAATTTGACACTGGTGTCAAAGGATCCTACCTCAAATTTGAAATTTGACACCTCATCTGAGAGTCATTAGATCAAAAAAGATTAACGACTCTGATTTGTAAGCATGTGACATCATTGATCTTTTTTATCTAACGGCTCTCAGATGATATGTCAAATTTTAAATTTGACACTGGTGCCAAAGGATCCTCCCTCTATATATATATGGGGCAGGATACTTTGACATCGATGTCAAATTCATCTGAGAGTCATTAGATAAAAAAAATCCATGGTGCCATATGCTTATAAATGAGAGTCGTTGATTTTTTTGGGATTAAAGTATCTACTGTAACTTCAAGTAAGGATCTCTGCTGTTCAATTAAACGACGACGTTTTGGTCCTTTTTTTTAAATCAAATTTCTTATTGTTCGCCTACCTTTTCTGTTTCGTCTTTCCGAACTATTTGTGCTTCCTTAGTGATAAACGATAGTCGTCTTCGTCTCTCACATCACTGTTTCTTTTTGCACTTCCTTATTCAAGCATAGGGTTTTTGTTTGAATCATCTTCATCTTCGTCTCACTGGTACGTGAAATATGTTGCTGCTCCGTACCTGAATTTCAATTATTTCGATATGTATAATCTTTTGCGCAAATTTGTGATTTGGGTGGTTGCTATAATATATAATGTTTTTATTGTCTTCTACATTCATGCGCATCTAGGTTGATTAAGTTGATATTGGACCATAGATGTAAATGCATAGTAATTTAGATATGTCGTGTCATGTGAATGATGATCTTCTGATATGTAACTGAATTCTAAGCGACAAGTGCAGTGTCCACTAGGCAACCTCTGTTTCAAAATAGCATGATGTGAGACTGAAAAAAAAACTCCTTGAATGTTCGCATTATTTTACTTTGTCTTGTTTTGCCATTGAAGTGTTATTGTGGTACTGCTACACCTACCTAGTATTAGTTAATCATTTCATAAATAGAAAGAAAAAGTGTAAGAACCTGCACCGTTAATTAAGGTATTTAATTAATTAATTATGAAAAATTAGGAAATGATTCCATAATTGACTCTAGTAATTATTAAGAGGCTTTAATAATTATAGTAAGTGAGTAATAATGCTGAAAGTCGCTTTTCGGAAGAAAAGTGCAGATACCGGTTCTGCTAGTCGGTATAAATGCATACCGAAAAAGTATCCCAGAAAATTATAATAAGTGGATGATAATTACTAGAATGATATGTAGGACTTGTAAAACGAGTTTCAAGTCCAGATAATGAGAACTGGTGCTGGAAACCGGTACTGGCTTTGAAAAGCGCCTACCGAAAAAGTGCTCAGAAAATTATAAGAAAAATATGTTAATTCTTGGAAAAATGTGTAGTTTCAGATTCTAAAGTTTGGGATTAAAATGCTAAGTGTAGCAATTAAAGTTAATACTGTGTGTTTAAGTGCGTTTGGGCTATAAATAGGCACACTTGGGCACAAAACCCTAAATAACTACTGCATGTGGCTTGGGTGAGGGTGGCTGACCAGAATAGTGTCCAAAGGCCTTCTTCTCCATTTCTTGGCCAAGTAATCACCTTTTGTTTGGTTTCTTCACCTCCAAACACTTGAGCCTTGTGTGAGTGGCCTTGTGAGTGTGTAGAGAGCTTGTGTTCTGAGTTGAGAGGCTGTTGGAAGTCAGCTTTGAGGGCTGAGTTGGAGAGTTGAGTTGTGGGAACCTTGGAGTTGGCTTGTTAAGCTTCAAGGTGTGTTCTTTGTGGAGAAAGGACCAACCTTCAACTTACATTTTCGTGTGCAGAGAAAGACAGAACCTTGGAGTGACCTTTTGAGCTCCAAGAGCACCTCTTGTTGGCTGATTGAGCTTTGGTAAGCCTTGTCACCTTTGGTCTTGAGTCTTTGAACTTAAAAATGAAAGCTTGATGCATGTTAAGGCTTAAAGATGATAACTTGTTGTTGGGTAATGTTGAACACACCTAGAAATGCATGTTTAGGTGCTTTAAATCGTTAAAAACCCAACCTTGGAAGGATATCTTCACGAAATGCATTTTCTGCATTCTGTCGTGAAATATTTGGATATGTGCCCGATGAATATCCGGATATGTGATATCCGGATATGGGTTTTGAGTATCCGGATATTAGATATCCGGATATGGGATTCCGGATATCCGGATATTGCATATCCGGATATGGCCCCGAAGAATATCCGAATATTCTGGGATTTCGAAGAACAGTAGCTGTGCTGTGAGGACAGTAGGCTATTGGGGGTTTGGGGACCCTAGATTGATGAAGTTGAACTTCTGTTTTAATTAAACTAAGGCAGAATCAAGTGATTAAGGACTTATGGCTTGGTATGGAGCCTTAAGACGTTAAACGTATGGAAAGGCGTTGTCCTAATATTGTATGCTTGTGGTGCATGTTGTTGATGTATTGTTGGTCCATAACAGATTATGAATCTGCTGTGTTTGGACTTTGAGCTGTGGACTCTTGGCTTTTGGAGTTAGCTTGCAAGGTAAGCTTTTGTGTCCTCGGTTTAGCCATGTTGTGGTTCCACCATGTCCCATGGGGGTATGGTTTATGCATGTTGTGTACATGCTTTTGGATATTTGATATGTTGATTGAACTTTACATGTAATGGCTTTTAATATGCATGTGTTTTTTCATCTTGACGGGAAGCCTGAGTATGTAGCGCCATACAAGACGGTGTACCGGGGTGAATGCAAGTGGTACTTGCACAGTGTGTAGGTGATAGACGTATACCTGCACTGTCTCTGGCCAGTAGATTAGTATTGACACACATGGCATGATTATCTGCTGCATTGCATTGTTTTAGAAATGATAAATGATAAACTGCTTTTGAACTTATATTGCACATGTAAGTGAGCTTGGGGTGGAAGATCCTTGAGGACTCACTGACTTACTGAGATTTCTATATTAGAGATCTTACCCCACGTTTGGGGAATGCTTATTTCAGGATCAGGTAGTATGAGTACTGATGCCTCAGGCGGCAGGAGGCCAGAGCTTAGCTGATTATGTTTTACTGCTTTATGTTAGCATGGCTGGATTTGGATGCTGTTTATGTTTTCCGTTATTTACGATATGTTGTTGTTGAGACTGATGTTGGGCATGTTGCCTTATTGGAGTGAGCATGGGGATTGTCCATGACACTTTCTGTTAGTACATTTTAGATGGGAGTTGTATAAACTGTTAGATGGTCCGGTCTACATTGTTGTAGTTCCGTGACTAGAGCCACATTCCTATTATCTATGTTATGAGGTATTTCAGTTAGCTGTTTCATTGCAATTACATACAGGCGATGTTTTATTAATTGATTATTAAGCAAGTTGGTAATGTTAATGGCATCATAATTGAAAAGAAAAAGTAATTCCGCATTTTTAATTAAGCGCAGCTTAATACGATATTATGATAACATTACCGGATATATACGGGGTGTTACAAAAAGCAATCTCATCCACATGCCCCCAACTCTCTCAAATTTAATTATTTTTGTAAGAAATAAAAAAAAAATGAGTGAAGCTATTCTTGTTGTCGTTGTTGTTGCAATTGGTAACTTGCTGCAAGGATGGGATAATACTATAATTGCAGGCCATTTTCTATTTTCCTATTTTGTGAGATTTTGCATTTGGTTAGCCAAGTTAACGTTGCATATTTATCATTGATCTTGCTTTATTTTTTGTATGCAGGATCCATTTTGTACATAGAGGGAATTTAAATTAGAAAGTGAACCAACATTAGAAGGTCTAATTGTGGCTATGTCACTTATTGGAGCCACTATGGTTACTAGATAAGCTTTGAACCGTTGAGCATTATTCCTTCTTGTTCTCCACTCTATTCCTCTCTTGTTTGAATTCACAAACAAGAAACTGAATATACAGACTCATGCTTTTGTTCTTCTTTCTCTCTATCTGTGTTCAGATGACGATTTTTTCCAGTTTCTTACTCTCTCTCTTTTTGTAGAGTAGTTTCTTGCTTTTTGATCACAAACAACAAGTATATTCTCAATTTTTTCTATTCTGTTCTTAATACAAACAAGAAACTAAATATATAGACTCATGATTCCGTTCTTTTTTCGTCCTTACAGGCTATTGATGGAACACTCCCAAATAACAACTGTTAGCACCTATTTTTGTCCTATATTTTGTGGTTTATAACGAAGAGAATAAAGGGAAGACGAAAAGGAAGAGAGGCATTTTTGGAAAGATTTGCAACATGAATTGGAAATGAGTAGGGCTAGCTTCGACTGCGATATCTCATTCATCCACCGTCCGATCAAGCTGAAATTTTTTAGTAAGATCTTGACTCATTGCACATCATATTCAACGGTGGATTTGTTGATTGGATGCCTGTACCATTCCCAAAAAATTCAAAACCGCAACAGGTTTCCCAGGTAATTTCTACTACAAGCAGCCATATTGTGAAGACCATTTCTCTCAAATGAACTGTCCGATCTTCTTCAAATTTGGTCGGCATGTTCCTTGCATATGATACTTCAATATGACCGCAGGGATTTTCAATCTATCCCTCCGGTGTAAGATATGGTGGTCGTAAAATGGCTGTTCAAAATGAGAAAAAACCACTATTCCATAAAAATACCACATCATTTATCTCTCATCTCTCCCTCTTCCCTTCCCCCTATATAAACACCTATACCCCTTCCCTTAGAAAAAAAAATTGGAGAAAACCAAATTAAAAACACCAAATTGGAGAAAACCAAATTAAAAACACAAGACACTTGGGCTTGGTTCAAAACTAAGCTAGTGTCATAGTAAAAAATTTTAGTTACTAATTTTCCTTTTGTAGGAAAATTGGGGTGTTTCTCCACAACTTGGCTCTATACACCAAGTTTTGGTCATCTTTGAGGATAATTGGGGTGGTTCTTCATAACTTGGCTCCATGCACCAAGTTTTGGTTATCTTTGAGGTAAGTCTATTTACTTCCTCCTTTAGTTAATAATTTCCTTTGCAGACTTCTATGTTCTTGATTTTATTTTTTTAGGAATTTTCTTATGCTTTTCATGTTTTATTAGAAATTTTCTTATATAGCTTAGAATTTATATTGGGAATTAATTTAAGTGTGACGCTTTGTTAATCTCATAATCTTTTGATTTATTATAGCCACTATAAAATATATCTTTTTTGGTGAATTATAAAATATTTATTTTAAATTAAAATCAATCAACACACAAATATTTTTTACAGAACGACGTAGCTTTGATTTCCCTATTGCACCGAGGGATACGTCGGAGCGGGACCCACCCGTCAATTTAATCAATGTAGTTCAATTCTTTGGGGTGAAATAAATATTTAAAATCTTATCAATAATTTGCACATTTAGTATAAGGTAACCGTTTTTTAAACGGACGGTGTAGGGTGCTAATACTTTCCCTACTCGTAATCGACTCCTGAATCCAATTCTGATTTCAAAGACCAGTTTTCTCAAACAAAAGGGTTTTTCCAATGTTTTCCCAAATAAACCTTGGTGGCGACTCCATTGTTTTTAATCGTTCAAATCTTTCGCCATCACGTCGCGATTCGGTCGCGACAACAACTATTGAAGACATGAGTGAAAGTGTAGTATCTTTAGATGACATTGTTGAATTGGAGAAAGAGAGTGATGAGATAAGCGGAGATTGTCAGTGTGAAATTAGGAATCAAGACAAAGATGATGATTGTACGCAAGACAATTGCCAAGAAATTATGGGAGATGATAGTGAGTTTAATGAGCCTCCTATATTGGGTATAGTTTTTGAGACATCAGAAGAAGCCTACGAGTTTTATAATGATTTTGCAAAAGTTAAAAGGTTCAGAATATGTAAGCGTTACTTTAGCAGGAGTAGAAGAACACAACAACCATGTTTGTGGAATTATGTGTGCTCAAGGCAAGGTGTCAAGAATCTAAATGATAAAAGAGTTGATATTAGTAATATCAAAAGGCAAAGGGACACAAGGACTGATTGTTTGGCGATGTTCCAATTAAAGTTGGTGAATGGATTATGGAAAGTAGAGAAGTTCAATGATTCACATAATCATCCATTGATTAACACTCCGTCAAAGGTGAACAAGTTTCCTTCTCATAATGATTTATGTCGCTCTAATTTTACTAGATCCATTGTTTCTAAACTTTATGAGGAGGGTTTAACTTCTTCAAAAATCTCAAAGGTGGTGAATGCTATGAACAAAGAAGTTAACATCACTCCGGGTCAAATTAGCACTATTATATCAAGCCAGCGTAAGAATAATGTAGGACAAGAATGTCAGGGCATCATTAAACACTTCCAAAAGAAGTCTATTCACGATGGATGTTTTTATTTCGATATGCAGTTGGCAGAAGATGGTACATTAAGAAGTGTCTTTTGGGCGGATAGTAAGTCGAGAGCTTCCTATGGTCAATTTGGGAAGTCCTTGTCTTTGATGTGACTTACAAAACAAACAAGTTCAAGTTTCCTTTTTCCCCTTTTGTTGGGGTTAATCACCATGGGCAATCAATTTTATTTGATGCTGCTTTGTTAGAGGATGAAACAGAGGCAACCTTTACTTGGTTGTTTGAACAGTTTCGGATATGCATGTTTGATAAGTCTCCAGTTGCGATTATTACTGATCAAGATAAAGCAATGGGGAAAGCAATTGCTAAGATATTTCCAAAAGCACGACATCGTTTTTGTGCATGGCACATCAAAAAACATGTTTTAGAGCATAGTCAAGCATTACGTGCACAATTCAAAGATAGTTTTGATGTTGACTTTGTATAAAAGTCAGAGCATAGATGAATTTGAAGACAAATAGGAAGCATTAAGACCTAAATATGATATTAAAGCAAGTAGTTGGTTGGCTAACATGGATGCTTCACGTAACCATTGGGCAAAGGCATACTTGAAAGATACTTTTTTTGCTGGAATGACTACGAGTGGCCGAAGTGAGAGCATCAATGCATTTTTTGATGGATATATCAACTCCAACACAATGTTAAATGACTTTGTTACCCAATATGATAAAGCAATTAAGTCTAGAAGAGATGCAGAAGAAGATGAAGATTTTAAAACTAGAAATACAAAAGCAAATTTGGAGAGTGATCATCCAATTGAAGCAATAGCTGGAGAGCATTACACAAGAAAACTATTTGAAAGTTTTAAAAAAGAGTGGAGGGCTACCACACAAGATTATTTTCTTGAAAAGATTTCAACAGACGAGCATAATATTAGGTATCGTGTGGGGTCTCCCAAAGTTAATAAAGAGTTGTGGGCAATTGTTTATTACAATTTGATAGAAAGTTCCACTGCTTATTGTTCTTGTGCAAAGTTTGAGACTATGGGGATTTTACGCAAACATATTTTGTACATCTTCAAGAAGAAACAAATGATGGCCCTTCCTGGAAAGTATATTTTGGCTAGATGGACCATGAATACAAGTTATAAGGCTGAAAACCTTTTGTATGTTCATTCTGAAACAACTAGCAGTGAAGTAAGTGAATTGTCTTTGTCGTCAACTTAATCGAAGTGCAATTTGGCTATTTCTGAAGCAAAAGATTGTTTACATGAAATTAGAAGATTTGATGCTATTGTTGATGAATTTATTCAACAACAATTAGAAAGGAAAAGAAAAAGAACCGAAGAAGAAACCATAAGCTCATTTTCACCTTCACAAAGTGGTTTAATTCCTTCTCAAGTTTCACTTAATTATGTTCGAGACCCCACTTAAGCAGTCAAAACTAAGGGGCGTCCAAAAGTTGCTTCACGAATAAAATCAAGCATTGAGTTAGCAGCCAAACAACAAAAGACTTGCTGTTATTGTCGAGAGAAGGGTCATAATAAGACCAGTTGTAAGAAGCAATTGGTATTTCTAGTCTATTTTTCCTATTTATGCTTATGTCTTTCCTCTCAGAACTTGATAACAAAATTGTGATTTTTCATTTGTAGATGGATGTTGCAAGAGAGAAGCAAAATGAATAATAGTTTCATTTCAAAGCTATCCATGATGACATTGTAGTTTTTTCAATGAAGATAAAGCTTTGACATGGCTGAATTGTTTTGACATAAATGAATTATTTTGTGCATAAGTTGAGTTGTAGATGTCTTTTTTGAATGTAAGCAATTGCATTGCAAAAAAATCTTGATATAGTTTATTTATGGAAAGTTTCAAATTATTTTGATGTAAGTACAGTTCCAGTAGTTTCGTGAAGCAAACTGTTTTGCTGAAAATCTGACAGCAAAACAACAAACTTCCCATTTCGCTAAAAATCTAACAGCAAACTTTCAATGCATTTCGAGTTCTATTTGGAAGTTCAATGGTTTAGGATGGGTTCTTTACTATTGTTAAAGCGTAACACAAAATATAAATTTGACAAAACTGATGAATAACTCACATTGAATAATTATGTACATGGATTTACATTACATCGACATCGATATCCTATAATGGCTACTAAAATCAAGTTACAACTCATACATAATATCCTATAATGACTATTCCTAGTCATAATATTCCTTGAAGTCTGTGTAAAAGTCTTTTTTTAAAGCAACTTCCATGTTGATTACTTTCATGTCTTTCCTTCTGTCCTATGCATAATGTTTAAGGACTTCCAAATTCATCCGAACATCATCTAGGCTCCTACTTTTGTTGTCCCAGTTCAAAATAACCCGCACATAAATAATAGTAGTTAACAATGCATACAAAGTTTATATATTTTATACGAGTTCAGAATGGAATACTTCTTTCCCTTCATGATAATTACAAACAAAAATTTATTAAACATATAATCAGGGTTGTCTGTCACCTCCAACCTAAGTTATATGGTAACAAGGTGAAGCATACCTGGAAATTTTGTTCATGGTATAGTACTAGGATAAATATAGGTGTAAATGCCTATGTAGAAATGGAAACCTCTCTACTTAATTTTTGATCAATTTTGGCAAGGTTATAAATTCCTATGTGTCTTATCTGAGATAGAGAGGGGGAATCAGTCACATTTAATGTTGCTTAAATGTATTCGGCACTGTTTTAAACTTGTTTGTAAGCAATAAAGAGTTAGCAAACTCCAAAAGAATATTTCACTATTTTCACTGTTAAGAGTGTGAGAAGATTTAGAAGCTAAAGCAAAGAGAATTTCACTATTTTCACTGTTCGGTGGTGATCAAAGAATGCTTTTTTCCTTTACATAATCTTTTTATGCAAAATAACATTTAGTGTTATTTCAATTCACAGTAAGTCTCCCACCAACCTCAGAATTTTTATCTAAGCTAAAATGTCCACATGCAACTAAGCAAGGAAATAGTAAAGCTTACTTTATGAAATTTTGACAATAAAACAATAGTTGGTGGTTTAACTTCCTTTGTAATATTCTTAATTTTTAACTCCAAGTGTTTGAATTTATTTTTATGTCAAGTGGAGCCAACTTAACAAAGTCGAGTTTGATTTGATGAACCCAGTTAAATAATCAAACTTGATCGGATACTTGAGGTGAGCATGCCTTTTTTCCCTCCTTCATTGAGTTGAATTGAACCTAAGTCTGCCTGTGTCACGGTTTGTTGCCAATAATTGCTCCCAAGCCTGAGTTTAAGAGAAGAGTTATGTTATGCAATTGATAGCCAATGTAAAACTAAACAATATCAGGAATGAATGTATTAGAGATAAAGCAAGAGTAACATTTGTGGAGGAAAAGATGACAGAATCTCACCTAAGATGATTTGGCCATGTGTGGAGAAGACTAATTAATAAATGCCAAGCCAGATGGAGGATAGCCCAATAAATAAGGTAGAGGAAGACCAAGGAAAACTCTAAGAGAAACCATGAAAAAAACTTAACCTATATGCCTTTTAGAAAACTTAATTTTGACAGAACACAAGTCACAAGGGTATTGTTATGTAGCTAATCGCTCCTAAGGGGAAAAAGCTTTTATTTTTGTTGTAGTTGTTGCTGATGTCTGCACTAAGGTGAGCCTAAAATGCTTTTAGCTTGACTCAGCTGTCATTTCTAGTTCTAGGTAGACCCATGTGCTCTCTAAGGAATTGTTTGGTTCATCATATAAGAAGGACCAGATACTATAAGCTGATACTATTACTATCCAGTGATATCAAATTTTATCTTCATGTGCACCTTAGTACAATACCATAACTCTTTTATATTGAGGTTTGTTCGATAAGACCAGATAGCAACTGTAATGCATGAGCATGAGTCCCCTGTTGGCTAGGTGTGAGAAATGAAACTCCTCCGATTTATAGTGGAGGGTATTTTCTCTTGTCATCCTGGCTTTTAGAAATGGGGTTTCCTCTGCTCCAAGGGGTATTAGAACCTGGTTTGTTACTTCGTTTACCCCCTGGTGTGAATGGGACATTCTTTCCAACTTGATGGGGTGACCACATTTGAATAATATACTTTTGACTAACAGAAAACTTGAAATAATATACTTTTGAATAACCTAAAAAAATTACTTACTGCTTGATATTTTCTTGATGAAGCTAATACATAAAGATTCAAATGATATAAGAAGCTAGTGATCTCTTATAGCCATGAGAAATTGGACAACTACTAATCTAAAGCATATGTGAAATTGGCTAAACAAAATTAAAGATTCAAAGTAACGGAGTTTAAAAAAAAAAAATATTCAAAGTAGGTGGCTTGGTTCTACAATGTATTGCAAAATTTAATTGAGTTTGGATTATTCCAACCTCAAAAACTTCACAAGTCCCTTTTCAGCATCTCGTGCTTGTTTATTTTCATCTTAAATTTACTTTTTTGGTGAAATTTTCTTCTTAAATTTTCAGAATGATATGCATCCTAGAGTGTTACCTGGATTCATAATTTCTGCACTTACAGATTTAGCTGACCCTGACAACTAAAATTGTTCATCACATTTGGCAGTCTCATTTTCATTGAATTTCTTTTTTGTTTTCGTTGGCCATTTTAACACTAATTGCAATGTTGATTACAATAGCGGTGGTGCCACGCTATTGAGGCAGAACCTATTATCTACCAACACTCACTAATTCTTAGTAGTCTAAGCCTGCCAAAGTTTCTCTTTCCTGCTGTTTCCAAAAGGAAAGTTAAAAAATTTGTAGGAACAAAAAATAAGAGAAGAAAAGCCTAAAATAATGCTAATTAATACATACCAAACCATAGCAATGAAGTCATCGAAAGTCATCCCTTGTTTTTATGAGTGTCTTGCATCCAATTTCATGAACCTAAACATATAATACAACCTAGTTTGGGTGAAACTCTCAAGTTCATCATCGACCCACAATAGTAGCGCAAGAACTGGAATTTGGGTACGGATAATAGTTGCGAAGACGGTTATCATTTACGAAAGACGAAACCGAAAAGGCAAGCGAATGATAAGAAATTTGATTTAAAAAAAAAAGTACCAAAATGTCGTCGTTTAATTGAACAACAGATATCCTTACCTGAAGTTACAGTAGATACTTTAATCCCTTTTTTTATCTAATTGCTCTCAGATAAAGTGTCAAACTTGAAATTTGATACCGGTGTCAAATGATCCTATCTCTGTAAATATATCCCTCCTCAAGTTATATATATATATATATATATATATATATATATATATATATATATATATATATATATATATATATATATAGGCAAAATGATTTGTAATGTGACTGCATATAAGCATTGGTGCAGTCACCTAAAAACTACGTCGTTTTGGTTGGGATAAAGGAAGTTCGCGTTCAAAAATAATTGTAAAAAATAGAAATATTATTTATTTCTAACTTTGTATGGTTATGATTTCTCATATTTAATGCTTTATATTTATTTTCGTCTTTGTATGGTTATGATTATCCATATTTAATGTTTTCACACTATAAAACTACGTAGTTTTATATGACTGCACCAATCCTTAGGTGCAGTCACTTTACATCCACTAAACCCATATATATATATATATATAGAGAGAGAGAGAGAGAGAGAGTTTACATTTCTGCAGATACTGTACGTGCAGCAATCAAATACTTGTCATATATATATATATATATATATATATATATATATATATATATATTTGAAAGCATTAAATGCGAGAAATCATAACCATACAAAGGATGAAAGCATTAAATGTGGAGAATTGTAACCATGCACATGTCGTTGCTATATGTAAAGCGGCTGCGGAAATAATTTTACCTATATATATATTATTAATTCGCAATAAAAGATAACCGTTGATTAGCGAAAATTAAGAGTTAAGATTTGGTGTCAAATTTCAAAGTTTGATATCGGTGTCAAAGAATCATGCCCCATATTTACAACATAAAAGTTTTACAACCTCTTACCATCAAATTTTAACGTTGATTTCCGTCAATCTAACAGTTATAATTTATTGGATCACACTTATTAATTAATTATTAATTTTCAATAAATTTAGATTAACGAAAATTAACGATTAAGATTTGATAGTAAAAAATTGTAAAAATTTTAGGTTGTGAGTATATACTCCCTTGTATAACTTTGTAGTATATTTATTATAATCTGAATCATTGATTACTCAACCGTAGTAATTTTATTTTATTTTTCTCTCTAAAATGTAGTGTTCAATTTAGAATAAACAAAATCTCCATTTATATATAGAATTATCGCATGCAGATTTGCTTTTATTTTCAAGAACTATTCTCTAACAATTTGCTTCTAAGGTTAATTAATTGGTTTTAGTTAATACCTCAAGAAATTCATATGTAACTTAGAGTACTATACTTAATAGGGATTATTTTTCTTATATTACATGAGATAAAACGATTTTCTTACACACAAATCTTATGTGAAATTCACTTTAAATTTTTCCTCTGATCCCTATTTTCTCTCATCTTTCTTCTTTTTGTGAGCTCAAGAAGATTGTTTTTATCTTATCCAACATAAGAAAAACAATCCCCGTACTTATATTATATCTTTGAATTAAATTTAGAATATTAAATAATGAAATTTAGATTATATCTCACTCGTCAGGTGTATTACTAAGAGAAAATTAGAATTTCTCCATGGATTAGGTTAATAAGAAATTTAAATAATTTGCATGAAGATATAGGATAAAATTTCAATTTCTTATTCTTAACTCATTATTACAAAAGGAAAAATCAACCTCAATCAAGTCATCTTTTCTTCTCCCATACACCTCCGATGTTACAAAAGGGAAAATCTTTCTTCAATTTCTTATTCTTAACCCAATGCTTAATCAAAGGGTTCCAAATATAATTAAATACTACTTGAACTACTCAAACTTTGTCCATGATGATGGTAAATGCCCTAAAAGCCTTGCTTGTACATGGAGTTTGAAGCTGCCAAAAGAGCAGCCCCTATGCCAGATCCATCTTTTGAATGCTCTATCATCACATTGTTTGACTTTTCTGTTCCTAGAAGCTCCTTGACTGAATCTAGTAAGTAACCCCTATATTGAGGATAATTTTCGTATAAGCCCCCATCAATGGCCACAACAGTTCTGTTCCCAAAGATGAGACCTTTCGAGTCCTCTTCCATTTTTTGTAGAATCCCCACAATTCCTGCACCAGCTAAGCTTCCACCTCGCTTTACAATGATGTCACAAACCTCTAAAACTGTTTTTCTTTCACTTAAACTGGATTCAACCTGAAGAGAACGAGCCCATATATGACAACAAAACAGAAAATGAAAATTAATGATAAAGTAATATATAGGGGCACGTTATTACATCCGTCTGAAAATAACAAGTTTTGTACTCATTTTTAGTCATTAATCTTGTTATATCTAATAACAATTATAAGTGAAATCCATGATCATGATTGAAAGTGTAACTTCTACTAATATATAATATATTGTATATTTGGAAGAATTAATTTTTTAAAACTAACTGTTGAAAGACTGAGTTTTATATTTGGGAATATTAAGTAAATTAAAATAACAGATCTCTAGGGAAATAACTTCATATTTTTTTCTTTTGGCCGTGGAAAAAAACTATAACATGGTATTGTGAATATATTTAACGTTGCCATCAGTATAGTTTAGGACAAGAAGATTACCCCTGCTTTATCATAGAGGAGGGACCCAACACCTTGTAAATCGCCAGAATTGTCTTGCTGAATGGCACATATATCTGGGGTCCTATTAAATTTATTTAAAACTATAGTTCAGTATCAATAAAGCCCAAAAGAGGTAAACTGAAGATATACCCTAACAAAAGTAATGTGTTGTGAAAATGAAGAGATTATTAACTGAGTATGTATAGAAAAATTGTTATATTACCAAATTTTATGAGCTGTAGATTTTAACCGAGTTAAAATTTACCCGAGTATGAAGGGCATAGAGATTTTTTGTGGTACAGATTTTCCAAACAAATCACCCTCTTCAGTCATTTTCAGTAGCACTCGTCTCACAATTTCACCTAGATACATTCCTGAGATTGTCTTTTCAAAGATCTGCGCAGTAATATGAAGAGATTAACTTTTCTGCTTGCTGCTACTTTGTTAAGAACAACAAAATTACAACAAAGATGTTACCAAAACTTACCTGCTCACCAGGATTGATGCTAGCAGCATCCATTTCTCTATCAAACTCAGTTAAAGGGAGACCATTTGAGAAAGACCCCCACTCAGTACTAATGATCTGAATCAAGGAATTTTTTTTCCTTAGCTTAATAAGATAAGCTAATTCATCTATAGTAACAAGATGTGAAGAAATGAAGGATAGTATACAACTCTTACTAACCATTTTCCCAGAAGAAGAGACATGTCCCTGTAACTTAGGAATGGCACTCATCTGCTCAACATAGCAAGCATTGGTTCCAGTACCCAAAATGACAGCAACCATGACATCATTGTCATAGTATTCTGCTCCAGCTAATGTTCCCACAGTATCATTCACCTATTTGGTAGGCATTTAATTACTAGAATCATACTACCATTTATGTTAAACTTATACAAATCTATGACATTAAAATAGCATACCAGAGCAGAAACTCGCATATCTAGTCTTTGCCTTTCCAATGCCTCATTCAGACAAGCAACCACATCTCTTCCTGCCTGTGTAAAGATATTTTTAAGTTTCCCATGATGCTAATATTGGGTTCATATATTTCTGCTACTATTTAACCATACCAAAATATAAAATTCTATTTAACGAAAATGATTAATGAAACAAGTGCAAACAAGCTCAACCCATTGCACAAACCTCAGAACATTTATGTAAAAATTGATAAAAGCATGCATTGAATCCAATATAGCACCTCAGCAGTAAGTGAGATAATTCATCAATTGAGGTTAAGTCAGGTGTTAATTTTCTGCTCTAATTTCTTGTTAGGCCTCGTGGTACAATTTACATATCCTAGTTTTAATGAATAACAATTACAAATTTACAACCTTTAACTAGTTAGGGACACCCCATGACTATTGGTTATTATCAAATGACAATATTGATCAAATTAAACAATGCACCACTAAAATAAAAAAATAAAAATAGTGAGTAGCACGTATAAAATACAGAGGTAGAGAAATACATACAGTTCCGGATACTGAAAAACCCTTGGTCCACTTGATTAGTATGCCAGAATCAATAGATGTCTGTTTCACAGGAAATGAGAACGTGAACCCAATCTCTCTTTTTCTTCCCGGTGAGAAATGAAATCTACCATCCTCCTTAGCCACAAATTTTGCTAGCCCAAGAGCAATGAAGTCAAACAAGTCCTGTAGTACACCAAGATGAACGTGAACATGAACATGTTCATCCCAATTAAGAAAGTAATAAAGCAAATATAAAAACTTATTTCAGAAAAATAAAATAAAACAAAAAAAAAGACCAAACCTCAGATGTACCAGACATAAGCTCCTGAGGTATGGTTACTTGGTCAAACTCAGTGGCAATCACGCGCTCATGTTCCCCACCTAACTGCACCCTTAGCACACGGAAGTTTGTTCCACCAAGATCCAAAGCATAAAACAGCCCTTTCTCATTTCTGATATGTTAATGAAAGATAAAGAACCAGAAAAGTTTGAAAGTCAATAACTTTGTGGAAAATGAAGTAAAATAAGCCAAGTGAGGAACATCACATTAAATTAACATACCCAGTGGGAAGATTGTCAACATAGGTGGGTATCATGGGAAGGCCAGGTCCACCGTCGGCGGCGAGGCCAGCTCTCATTCCGGCGGACATGGCGTCGGCCACGTGGTGAAGAAGAGGCAGAGGAGTGGCACACTCGTGTTTCAGTTTGGTCAACATTTTTAACGGGGCAACGTCAGATCGGAGGGCCACCGTCAACCGACGCCGCGGGGATCGTGAAAGAAAGGATCCCACGGCGGCGGAAGTGGCGGCAGTAACAGTAACGGACATGTTTGTTTGCCGTGGTCGACGATATCTATGATTTTTTTTAACTAATGTATTGTGACAATTAACCAACACTTAGGTAGCAATAACTATGAAAGGGGCTTGTTGGTGATTGTATATAGTCACTTATTTTTCGCTCTTTGCTTTTTTAGCTTTCTGTACACTTGACTTCATGATTGCCGTTTTCAGTACCAGAACAGAACTGTTGAGTTTCAAAGTTACTTTATTTATTGTTTATTATTGTGGTATTAGTGTTTGAAATAATTTTTATTTCCAATATATGTCTAAAAATATATTTTATTTTTATTTATGTATAAAAAAATAAAATTATTTTTTTTTTTGGTACATATAAAATTATTTTTTATAATATAAGAAATACCGATCCCTAATATTATTGCATGAACCAAAATTCAGGTAGACTTATAGCTGAAATTTTTTGAAAATGTTTTTTTCGTTGCAAAAGGATCAGCGTAGCCTTGAAAGTTTAATGATCCCTTCAAAACAAAAAGAAAAAAACTTTATAAATAACATATGAACTAGAGATCTTTTTAAAAAATTCAGACCAGGAGATCTTGAAATTTAAACTCAAATGAACATTAACAATATATATATATATATATATATATATATATATATATATATATATATGCAAAAATATTTCTACGGCTACTTTAGATGAGGTTGTACACAACTACCCTTTTTAACTAAGTATAACCGATCATATATAAAAATTGTATTTTTCTCTCCGCCATGTCGGCCAACAGTGTTTGAGAAGAGAAAAAAAAACAGCTTTATTGTGGTCATACTTAATTAAAAAGAATAACGGTAAATAATCTTATCTAAATTGATTATAAAAATACTTTCTCATATATATATATGGAAAAATATTTCTGCAGCTAATGCAGATAAGTTGTCTGCATTTATTCCCAAAACAACGTCGTTTTGGTATTGAAATCTTAAAAATTTATAAATATAAAGACTATTATAACCCTGAAATAAATTAAAATTACAAAACACCATGATTTCCGCTCAAAACGGCGTCGTATTGGACTTACTGCAGATAACTTTTCTGCAGTAACTGTAGAAAAAGTGAACCTATATATATATAGGGAAAAATATTTCTACAGTTAATGCAGATAAGTTATCTGCATTTATTTCTAAAACGACGTCGTTTTGGTATTGAAATCTTAAAAAATTATAAATATAAAGACTATTATAACCCTGAAATAAATTAAAATAACAAAAACACCATGATTTCCGTCCCAAAACGACGTCGTATTGGACTTACTGCAGATAACTTATATGCAGTAATTGCAGAAAAAGCGAACCCATATATATATATATATATATATAGAGGAAGGTTATACTTACAACTTTTTTTTTTTACAACCTCTTACAACCATATCTTAACACCGTTGATTTTCGCCAATCAACGGTTATGATTTTAACAAATTAAACTCATTAATTAATTACTAATTTACAATAAATGATAACCGTTGATTAGCGGAAATCAACGATATTAAGATATGGTTGTAAAAAAAAATTATAAGTATAACATTTCTCATATATATATATATATATATATATATATATATATATATATATATATATATATATTACGCGATTAATTTAAACACAAAAATTTATGTATGAAGAAAGGGTAACGACCTAACCGCTCAGGTCAGCACCTAACTCGTAAGTTTTGGCGTCATTATTATTTTTTTATGAAATTCTTGTTTTATAGATGAGGAATTAATTTTTCTTAATATACAATAAAGTACCAAAGATAAAAAAAAAACCTTCTCAATAATTTTTTTTCATATAAATAAATATTAAAATTAAACTCAAAATCACATATTTAAAAAAATTAAACCTTTTTCTGCTCGCACCAACACATTTTGAATGATTTGGGACTGGGACGGACCTTACGATGCAAATGCAATATCTGTGCTTTGTACTCTTCGTTCAAAATCAAATCCAATCTTTTCACACCTATTTGGGAATATTATAATCTCCAGACTTTGCTGCTCTCTTTAGAAAAGAAAATAAAAACAAATAAGAAACATGGCATTTTTAAATGAGTAATCTACATATCATTGATTTCCACGATGCCGCAAGCGAGGACAATGGCAAACAACTTATCTCAAGATAACAATAATTAATTAAGTAACTGTTATATTGATTGTTTTAATTTAAAATAAATTCAATAACAACTGTTTATTTATTTATAAATAAGTTATTAGATTGATACGTTGACTCGACTTTTTAGTTATTTATTTAATTAAATTTAAAAATATTTATTTAATTAATTTTTACTAAAACTTATTATATTAAAAGATTTAAAATAAAATATTGCTTAAAAAGATTAATGTAATGTTTCTTTTGTTAAAGAAATAAAGTTATTTTCATTAATTCCAAAATGGCAATGTTTTGGGAGTTGAAAAAAAAATGATACTAAGTATTCTAGTAAAATTTATTATACAACAAGAAAGTAAAAAATTTTATACAGTGTTCCGCTTTGAAGCTAAAATTTGGAGTGTGCTCAGAGGTTTGGAACTAGCCTGGGAAGGTGGCTGGAAACATATCATCTTTAAAAGTGATTCAAGCTCTTTAATTACTCTGCTCACCAAAGATGGAGGAGGAGCTCGAAAGCCTCAATTAGTGACTCGCATTCGAGCATGACTATTGAAGGACTTAGAGGTTCAACTTGTTCATTCCTACAAAGAGAATAATGGTTGTGTAGTCTAAGTATCCTGTGGACAATTCAATGGAGAATAATTTAAGTTTTTTTTTCTCCCCCTGGTATCTTGCCATTTTATTTAGTGGACCTTTCTAATGTGTGTTCTTTTCGAAAGGTTTCTATGATTTAATTTCTATGGGGCTGTCTTAGGCCCTTCAGATTACCCAAAAAAAAATTATTTAACAAGAAAAAAGTAAATTTTTTAAAATATCATGTTTTTTTTTTTAATAAAATTAAAAATGATATCATTTTGAAATTGTTGGATATAACTTTTCTCATGTGACTAGAAAAACATTTTTTCCTTGCCTAAAATAAATAAATACTAAGTTTAATTTTTTTTGAATAATATAATGATTTTAAAGTGACTCATTTTATTGTGGGTTGGCCCTGCTTTGAGTTGAGTTTAATCAGATTGATTTTTTATTTCCAATTTTTTAACCCAATTCATACACCTTTTTTTGGTATGAGTACACTTTATTATATGGGGAAGGATTTGATTACAATTTTTTTTTACAAATTACACTAAGTATAACCGGTCATACACTCTTGATTGAAAGATAATTGGTTATACTTAGTGTAGTTTGTAATAGTTTGTAAACAAAAAGTTTGTAAATATAATCTTCCCCTTATTATATTGTTTAAATTAGTGTAGCAAACTTGGTTAATTTTGATACTTCTATCGTTAATGAAATAAAGGATAGATGGAAAAAGAAAACAATGTGATTGATGAGTCTTATTGTCTTAAGCATGTGCAAAGAAGTGGAAAGTTATCAATCTACTAATATTCAAACTACAAAGTATATCTTTTTATGAAATGTATATTAAACATTCTAGAAGCTGTAATTTTTGGTATTCTAGTCTTGCTCGCTGGCTTTGCTTGCTACAACAAGCATTGCAATGAGAGAATAAGGGAAAAAGTCATCCTCTGGACTTGCTCACTGGTGGAGCTCGCTCCAGCGAGTAGAGTCAGGAACAACACTTGTTCCAAGGTTGCTCGCTCGTTCGATCTACTCGCTACAACGAGTGTTTTTAGCGAGCAGATACATAGCACAGTAAAATGTGCATATTTTAAGATAGAGAGCTCCAAATTGAGTGAAACTTGAACCTATGTAAAATTTACTCAAAGACCTATAACTATATAAAATCTTAGGACTTTTAGATAAATGAATAAATTCGGGTTCAATTTAGAAGTTGCTACCCTATTTATAGAAGTCTGATTTTGAAAAGTTATTTTGTGAGTTGCATAACTCTTGCTATACCCAACCAAATGAATCTCATGATATATCTTGTTGCAAAGCTTGAGATGTGTAATTTAACATAGTAAAATATGGGATTTGATGGTAGAGCCATGAAATCTTGGTTTTTGAAATAGTAAATTAGAGAGCTCTAAATTGAATGAAACTTGAACCTATGTAAAATTTACTCAAAGACCTATAACTATATAAAATCTTAGGACCTTTAGATAAATGAATAATTTTGGGTTCAATTTTGCAATTGTTACCTTATTTATAGAAGTCCAATTTTGAACAGTTATTTTGTGAGTTGCATAACTCTAGCTATACCCAACCAAATCACTCATGACATACCTTGTTGGAAAGCTTGAGATATGTAGTTTAACATAGTAAAATATGGGATTTGATGGTAGAGCCTTGAAATCTTGGTTTTTGAAATAGTAATGGTTGTTTATAGCTTAATATGACATTCAAATTCGTTTCTTTGTCCTTCAATGGAAGGACTTTAAGGACTTTGTTGCACTATTAGTAGAGTTTAATATCATATTAAGGAAACAAAAATTTAACTTAAAATTCTAAAGTGAATAATTGCTTAAGTTATTGGTATAAGTAACGAAGTAAGGTAATTTTATTATTGATTCTTAATTATTCTTGCTGCGCTTAATACCATAAGAAATTAATACACTAGGAACACATGGGGTGTTATATTTACATATTTGTAAATTTCCTTTTAATACCCTTTTGCTTGCAAAATGAAAGAAATTCACCATTGTATATCCTCTTCAGTTATTTGTCCTTAAGCACTTGATCTTTTTCCAAGATTCAAGTTCTACTTGTGCTTTGAAAGTTTGAAACCCATTTGACATCTTCTTTAATGGTACATCGATAATTTTCTAAAATAATCACTAATAAATGATACAAAATATTTTGCTCCTCCTAGGGACATTTCTGGTGACTCCTACACATCACAATGAATCAAGCCTAATATATGTTTTCTCCCAATTGTTGATGTAGCAAATTTCAATCTACCTTGCTTGCTTATAACACAATGCTCATAGAAAGCTAAGTTTATCAATTTGAACCCGTGAAGAAAATGACATTCTACGAGAATCTTCAAGCCTCTGTTTGACATGTTGACTAATTTGAGATGCCACATAGTTGTTGATTTTTCTTGACTGG